AAAACCAGGCTGTCTGGGGAGTTATGGGAATTGAGGTCCAACAGGCTGCAGGTTGGAAAATGTTGCTGTGGGTCAATAAATTAAACCTGAGGTCCATTTAACCTCTGTCTCCCTGGCTTTGTTTGCCCAACATGCCTCCTTATTAACCCACGTAGGTTGAGTTCACACAAGACTTTAAGCTAAAATGTGATTAGCCTGTTTGCGGTTCAGTTGTTGCGTGAATATCGTTTTTCTCTATTTTCAGAGCAGTCAGTCTCTACAAAGAGGACGAACCCAATGTTTACGCCGAGCCAGCAATCTTCTCCCAGATGTTGCTGCCCTTTCTACTCCAACTGGTTGGCAGTGCGTCCACCTCCACAAAACTTTGGGAGCCAATACAATCCTGGCTAGAAACCACTGGAGCTAGGATCATCTCCACCATACAATTCTGCAGGCAGTGGTGGAGTCAAGGTGGGTTGGACAATGCTTCGAGACAGAGGTGTGCAACTTCCAACAGCTCAAGAGCCACTCCCCCAAAGTGAGGAAAACTAGGGGCCGTTTTGGGAGGGGTTTTAGGAGTTGAAGGGGTGAAATGGGTGTCTTGGTCATCTGCAAGGCTGAAGCACTCATTTTGCTGATTAACCTCCCCAGTGGGCTCACCTCCTCCTAAGAGGTTCTGAAGGCTACCCACAAGAAATGCAAGAAGATTGCCTGTGGCCTCTATGCTGTACTTTTTGCACCCCTCCTCTAAAGACATGGACAAATTGGGAGTATGGCTAGAAGGGTGATTAGAATGGTGAAGGGTCTGGAAGTCAAGTCTGACAAGGATCAGTTGAAAGTTCTGGGGATGTTACCCTAGAGAGATAATCTGAGATGACTTGCCTGAAGGACTTCATAAGAGGCAGTGGATTCTCCATCTCTGGAGGTTTCAAGAAGGTGGACAGCCATCAGAGGTGATTTCGTTGATTCACTGATCCAGGTTAAAGCAAGGTTAATGTTAATATGGTGGCATCACTGTTCACCTAAGCTGTTCACTCACTTGTTCAATCTCAATTCTTGTCTTTCAGAGGACAGCCCTTGCTTGCATCTTAAAGCTTTGTCCTGTCCTAAAGTACATTCTGCTATCACAGCACTGTTGGTTAAGGCCATCCTTGCAGTCCGCATCCTGGAGGTCCTGGAAACTGAGAACCAGCCCAACTGCATCCAAGGAATTAGCATCTCTTCCCAAGAGTTGAGTTGCACCATCCAGTCCTTACAGAAGCTGCTGCTTCAGCGTGGAATAGCTATTACAGTCAAGATGGAACTATAGCAAGCAGGACTATAGGAAACTAGTTAAGCATAAAGGACTTTTAATAAAGCTTTTTTAAAAAAATGGGTATATTCCAAGATTAATAGATTCCTTACCGTAGTAGAAGATGGCACACCAAAACTCTACCTTGGACATGGCTCACTCTAAACAGCTATGGGCATCAGGGGCAGTTCATGAGGCTTGCTCATTGGGAAGCGATGTGGGAATACGATCAGGACATGATCAAAACAAGAACTTGCCACCAAATTTCATCTATTTAGCACCAGGTTGCATGAGTGCCAAACTGCATTCCAGAAGGGCAAGGAGATAACAAATATCTTGACCCTGATTTGATGCAAGTGCCCAATTTGTAAATGGCACAGGGCTTAGCTTAGGGTGTATCTTTCCATCATGCTGGGATCCCATCATGCTGGGATCCATAATCTTAAGGTTATGCAAGCATGAAGGCCGTATGGACAGCTGTGAGATCACAAAAACCAGGGGGTAAGGAAAGTGCTTGTAGATGAACAAATGGGTGAAAACACTGAGAGGTCTGGAACGGAACCAAGCCATGTCAACATGGCAAGGACTTATTTGAAACCGGGAGAAGGAGTTGATTTTCTCTAGACCCCTTTAAGCTCTCACTTGGGAAATCAAGTTCTCAGAACAGGGGAGAAGGAAGTAGAAGACAAGTGGCTTAGCCTTGCAGGTGAAACTTATGTTCTTCTACGTCAATTTTCATCTTCTCATGGGAGAAAGAAATGAGCTCAAGTGTGACTTAATGAACACAACCATGGCATTTTCTTGGCAGCAGTTCAGAAGCCATTTGCCAATGTCTTCTTCTGAGATGGTTTTTCATCTTCCCAGCCTAGTCTACAATGTTGATTTCTTGGATGTCTCCCATCCAAGCCCTAACCAGGTTGAATATGCTTAGCTTTCTAATGTCATCCAAGATTTTTAGGGGTTGCCACTGTTGCTGATGGGTGTCCCAAATCCATCCAGATATCATCATTGGACTTCACCAGGACGCTGCCAGATGCTTATGCTGCCCCAATCCTAAAATTTTAAGGTTTATTTATTCACCTAACTCCTCTATCCAGAAAATGCATCCAATGGGTGCATATACAATTAATATAGAATGCCATTCAATACTGTTTCACAGCTTGATTTCTTCCACACCATCCCTACCTTGGAAACGTCTTTGTCAGCCTGTAAGGTCTTCTCCAGGGGTCCTTAAAGTCCCTTTTACATGAATTAGGCAGAATCTTAGCCACTTCAGTCAACAACAACAAAAAGCAGTTTAAAAATAAAGCTATTATCTCCTTGCAATCAGTCATCTCAGCAAGAAAACACAGGCTAAGAACAAATGGAAAATTAATCAAGATGATTCACTGTTGACTCCACGGCTGGACCAAAGCGCTGTTTTTTGTTCCAGTATGTAAGCTTAGTCTTTCTTGTTATTTATTCAGTCGACAATATGGTTTCCAGCAAAGATCAACAAAACTCTTAAGAGCTCTGGGGACAAATTAATAAATATTTAGGATGATTTGAAATCAATACATGTACACTTGGGTGCTTCTGTATTATTTCGATGGATATCTTGGGCATCTGCAAGCTATCCGGAAAACCTCAACTGTACATCAATTTAAGTTTAACGTGGGTTTTACCTTATGAAATATGTGGGAAGGGAGAGGGGGGACCTTTTCAGATGGTGTACTCATTCTTTAAAAGGCTTCTCTAGAGTTGGAAGGGACCACAAGAATCATGGAGTCCAACCATCCACAATATGCAGAAAAACCAATTCAGCCATCCATGAGATAGCTATCCAGTCCCTTCTCCAAAATATCCAGAGATGGAGGACTCCCAACCTCCAGGGGTAGCCTAATCCACTGCTGTACAGATCTTACCATCAGGAAGCTTTTTCTTAAACAAAAACTAGGTAACTGCAACTTTGATTTGATTATGGGCCATCAAGTCGTTGTCAGACTCTTAGCAACCACACAGATTTTCTCCAACCTGGTCTTCCAGATTTTCCAATGGAGCACCCATCACCACTGAAACTGAGTCTATCCACTGCAACTTAGACCTATTATTCTTGGTCCTAGTTATGTGGAAGATAGTTCTTGGCCATCTTCCCTGTAGCTTTCCTTCATGTATCTGAATATGGCTATCGTGTCTCCTCTCATCAGCCTTCTTTCCTCTAGTCTGAACACCCCAAGCTCCTCCAGCCTGTCCTACCAGGGCACATCCATGGGACGGTACTGTTCAAAATAGCTTCTGCAGGAAAGCAACTTGGCAGGGTTCAAATGAAACAAAGAGGCAAGTGACTTAATAACCAGGCAACGTTGGTTTTATTGTCAGCATCCATGCTGAACAGCTCAAGAATTCCAAAACCATACTAGAGTTAGGCTGCCAGGGCATACAGTGAGACATTTAAAACATTTAATTTAAATCCTCAATCTAAGAAACATTGGATTCTGTAAAAATACAAGCAATAACCTACTAGCCCTGGCCACCTCTGCATTAACTTTGTCATATAGGTAGTATAAGAATGAATCTCGGGAATTAACAGCCCACAGGAAGGGAAGTTCACGGACATTGACATTCAGAAGGAGAAGGGAAGAACAGCAGGATCTCCATTTGGACAATGCTGTGCCACAAATACAGTTTACACCCTTACTTGGATATAAGCTTTCTCCAGAATCTTTCTGGACCAGCTGAGCCCCACCACAGCAGCCAACCAGATCTGCCTTAGCTTTTTTTTAATCCGCTACTCCCCACCATGACGTGTAGGTTGGATTTAGCTAACCTGCAGCAGGAGGGTTAAATGTGGAAA